CACACCAACTTTGTTTTCTCAGCAGGAGCTGCTGTATGTTTGGTACAATCGATTTCTTTTTCTCTTTTAAAAAATTAAGATATTCATTATCTACAAAGCAACCTTAGAGGGACAGATTGAGGATTTAATTTCAGATTTTCATGTCTGGCTCTCATAGCCAGATGGTCTTTACACAATGGAAGTTTTGTACCATCAGTCATAATTGTTTCTTATCACTACTATTATTAATGCCATTAGTAAAAATAATGTTGAAATCATTTAAATGTCCGTATTGAATAGTCCTGTTGATTTCCTCTCCATCTCCCAGTGCACATTTTAACTGATCAGGCTAATACTCATTAAGACCCTAGAAACTGCTTTCTCTCCTGATAACTTTGAAGAAAATGCACAGATTCTTGCTATCAGTAGCAATTTGTTTATAGCAGCTCTTGCCACAGTTGGAAGAGTTAATACTTTATTTCTCTTTCTTTTTCTTTGTGTTTGTTTTTTGTTTGTTTGTTTGTTTTTTGAGCAAGACTCTTGCTCTATCCTGGCTGGAATGCAGTGGGGTGATCTTGGCTCACTGCAATCTCTACCGCCCAGGTTCAAGTGATTTTCCTGCCTCAGTCTCCCAAGTAGCTAGGATTACAGGTGTCCGCCACCATGCCCAGCTATTTTTCATACTTTTAGTAGAGACGGGTTCATCACGTTGGCCAGGCTGGTCTTGAACTCCTGACTTCAGGTGATCCACCTGCCTTGGCTCCCAAATTGCTAGGATTACTAGGTGCACCTGGCCTTGTTTCTTGTTTAATTATTACTTATTGACAAGATTTGTTGTTGTTGTTCTTGGCCTTTGGGTTGTGTGTGTGTGTGTGTGTGTGTTGTTTTTTGTGATTTTTTGGGAGAGGGGAGGGTTGGCTATAGCATATTCACAATTCTTTTTCTTTTAAATACATTTTATGTGTTTAACCATAGCATGATTCCACCGGATAAGTTTTATTGGATTTTTTCAGGGGTGGAGCAGGGAAAGGTTTTTTAAAAATTGAAATATGACATCCATATCATTAGAGTTTTAAAGTTAGTAATATGCTTAAGGCGGATTTTTTATGGTTAGCAAAGCTGAGAGGTTCTGACACCCAAAGGATGCAAGAAGAGATAACTTACATAAATGTATATGGTGCCCCGGAGGTGCCACAATTGTATTATGGGGTTTCTCATGAATGGTCTTGGTTCAGACAGTAGAACAGTGAAGCAAAGCTAAGTGGTTCTGTACCGGATGGGCTGTGCATGTGACACATTACACTGCAAACAGAAGTACCTTTCAGTGCCAGATAGTTTACTAGGAGGCGCTGGAATATGAACTAGTACAAAATATCTAAGGAAATGTATATCTTATTAAAAATATTTCTTTAAAACAGCCACTGCATTTCTTTAAAAAGCCACTAGCTTTAAAATGGATAGCCTAACAGATTGCATGGAATAATCTGAAAATGATAAGGTCTGAAGCTTAGCAAAGAATATATTTAATACATAAACTGGAGAATGTAGAAAATAGGACGGTATGATATGATTGATTGATTGAACTATTTCTTAGAGATTTCAATCAGCCCTGAAGTTTATTTCTTCCTATTTTGAAAACTGCATTTTCTTTTTTTAAAATTTTGTTTGTGAAGTGCTTGCTTATACTGATTTTGTAACTCCTGAAAGGCAAAAAGCAAATAATTATGAAGAAAGAGGTTCGTGGCAGAATTCTAGTCAAGTACCACTTCTTACACGAGCAATTATACATAATGCTTAATTAATTGTTTTGTATGTGTGAGGCAGTCTTGTCAAAATCAAGGATCCTCAATAGAACTAAAAGAAAGTGTGCTCGCTAGTAAGCAGCATCACAAACATACAATTTTTCATAGCTAGGATTTACCTTGGAGAAATCTCATTTCACCCCATTCTTTCACATGTGACCAAGTGAGATGCCCATGTAATTTCTTGATGAAATAATAAAACATGATTTGGTTATTAGCTTTTAAAAAGATTAGCCACAGAGATGTTGATAAATTAGTACTCCCATTGCAAAGATATCCTTCTTCTATGCTGTTAACTTAAACACTAGAGACCATGTGACTTATTCAACTAATATAAACCAAAATGATAATAGTTGCTATCATTTATTGAGAACTGACTGTGTGCTAGACTCAGTTCTAGACAGTTTCCATATATTATCCCATTTAACCTCAAAATAACGCTTCAAAATAGACATTTTCATTCATATTTTATGGCTAAAGAAACTAAGAATCAGGTAATACCACAAGTTGAGGTGGCAGAATTACTATTGTAACTCAACTAGAGTAATAAAACCTACTTGCAATTATTTATTTAAAACATAGAAGGTAAGTATCCAGCAAAGAATTTCAAATGCCAGTAATGAATACAGATGCTTCACAACTTTCTCCACACATCTGCCTTCTTGTGGACAAACAGATTTCTCAATTGAATAAGACTACCAAAAACGGCGGTCAGGATATCCAATCACAGTCAGGTTTTATTTCCTCATACATCTGTATTGTTTTATGATGTGAGATTATAACTAGCGTTCACATTAGACGACCAGAGAAGAAACTTTGATAAAAGACCACATTGGGCTAGGCGCAGTGGCTCACACCTGTAATCCCAGCACTTTGGGAGACCGAGGCAGGTGGATCGTCTGAGGCCAGGAGTTCAAGACCAGCCTGGCCAACATGGTGAAACCCCATCTCTACTTAAAAAAATACAAAAATTAGATGGGCATGGTGGCACATGCCTGTAATCCCAGCTACTGGGGAGGCTGAGGCAGGAGAATCGTTTGAACCTGGGAGGCGGAGGTTGCAGTGAGCCAAGATCGTGCCACTGCACTCCAGCCTGGGCAACAGAGCGAGACTCCATCTCAAACAAACAAACAAACAAACAAAAAAACCCATTGATTTAAGGGTCTCAATACAAGGACTTGGTACCTATTTCTGTTTCAGAAATATGCCCATTGGCATATCTGCAACCGTTAGAAGATTTACCTTCTCAGAAGATGAGATATTACAAACTCAATATTGACAGTGATACAGGAAACTAATAGGTTTTCCAGAGGCTAATTACAAACAGGTGGTGGCTGGGGCCAAACTCCAGGAATCACAAACCCATTTTGTTAGAGCTCATTAATGCTTCTATTCAACTCCAGGAAAATGTGCACATTCCACAGCATTATAGGGGGTTTCAGGTTGGCTGATAAAAAACAGGTGATTTTTCTCACACACAAACTGACCCAGGGATAAAATAAAACAATATAATTAGCCTTCCCACGTGGCAGGGCCTCTCGTGGTAGTTACAGGTGGATTCTGCTGGAGCGATAATGGAAATGCTGTTGTTTAGTGACCAGGTAGGGGAAACTGTGGCAGCTTCACCACAGCTAGTGGTATCTATGCACACCCAGGTTGAGCCCAAGCACTGAGGCTTCTCTCTTCTCCCTAATGGAAAGTGCAATGGGATTTTAAAATTTGATCTGAGAGTCTGACTGCTTCAGTGGAGGGCTCCGCAATTTCACATTTCATCTCAGCAGCTAATGTCCAGATCTTGTCAAATCACCACCAAGAATATACCGCAGGGCTACCCTGGACAAAACTGTGCTGTTCTGTGGCACCTTCTGAGGGTTCAGTGACTGTGATGCAATCAAATGTGCTGTCTCATGCTAACATTAGAAGGGGGGCTGCTGCTCCCCTGAAAGAACATCTTGTTTTCTCTTCCACAACCGTCGTAGTGCTAACCTTTTTCAGCTGAGCTGCTAGTTTCAATTCAAAATATCCTATCTTGTTTTTTTCTGCCTTTTAAAAGTGGTAGAACTTATTTTGACGGTGAGACCCTGGAAGATGAAAACAGAAAGAAAACAGTTTTCTTCCTGATTGTTTTCTTGCTGACAATTTTATTGCCATTGTCTTCCGTGTGGCTAATGGTTGGTAGGCTGCTGGTCTCATACCAATTATTTCCAAAAAAAAAAAAAAAAAGGAAGTTAGATGGATTTTTAATATACTCTTTTTCCCAGTTTCTTAAAGATGGGCAAAAAACATTGCTACCGACACCACAAAATGCAGATTATTAATTAGATAAAAAGTACAAAAGTACTTTCAGGTCATTTTATGATTACAGAGGCTGATTGAAGTCTGTTAAGTTTGTATGTCATTCTTGGCAAGATATGAACGTGACTTTTCACATGCTATTTCACTGACAGCCTATTTTAAAATTTAAAATAAATTGTCATTACTCTGATTTAAAGGTCATGAAGTTTACTGATTTCTTTGTATTGCATGGAACAAAATAAATTTTCAAAATATTTTATACAGCCTCAACTTTGAGATCCTTTTGAAATGCAAGAAAATAAAGATACCCACCACAACAGAATGAAAATTTACCTTCAGTCTATTTGCCACTGGAATTACTACAAGTTCAAGATCAACCAAACAGGTTGAATCACTTTAAAATGTCAACGGCCTAATGCTTAAAAAGATCATCTTTTTGTAAGTGATGTCATTCTGGAACATTAAAATGTCTTATAAATGTACATTTCAGAACTTAATTCACTCAAATGAATATTATTCCCTTCAGAACAGTTATCTGAAAAAGGAAAGCCCCCTTTCCAGTAATAATTTCATTGCTTAAAATATTTTGAGAACTGTCTTTATTCCTCTTAGGAACTAATAAGAAAACGGTCCTGTTTTTAGTCCTATTTTCTTTTTTTGACTCTAAGTAGCATAAGCCATCTTTCTCATCTACTTAATGTCTAGACCTGGCAATCATTTTTTTGTGTTGTTCTTGTTTCCAAACTTAAATGATCAAAGATCAAAAATTTTTTGCCATCAAAGATATTTAGAAGATTGTGCTACAGGATTTGAGGACAATCTCAAAAAGGGAATTTCAAAAGCACGGTTCAAGCCATGTCAACAAAATTTAGAATGCTATGTGCAACTTCGCAAGGTCAGGACTCACAGAGGGACGTCACTCACCTTTCTTCTTGTCTTGCCTCCTGTGGCAGATCCCCTTTCAATGGCTGGCTTCTGACACTGGACGAGCTGCCTGTTTTCCTTGTCTATAAAATGATGCCAAAGGACTGGATGTCTGCAAAGGATCTTTCCAGTTCTAAAATTCTAGGACAATGATGTGTGGTTCTCTATGTGACACTTGGTTGTTTTCGTTTGTTTTTAATTAAAAGTCACTTTAGGCCACAACTTTAATGTATTCAGTCATCATATCAGTGATTGGGGATATTTCTTCCATAGTCTCTTTTCTTCTCACATTCTCCTGTATTAACATTTATTGCCACTTAGGGGCAAGAACAAAGTTTTTATTCCATTGAATTTAGGGCTTGTGGACATTTAAAATTTTTTATTGTAGATCAGAGAATGTATCAACCTTGTGCGTGGGGAGAGAGAGAAGAAGAATGTGCAAAGATACTCATGTAATATAAACTTGTTACATTAAAAAAAATCTGCCAACACCCCTGGTTCTCACTCTGATGTTAATCTTTCATGTACTATAGCACTAATCTGATTGACTCTATTTACTTGTTAAAAGCTTGGTCCTTCCCTTTTCTGTTGGCATTGCAGCAGTTGCTTACCTTAAAGGAAAAATGATGGTTAAAAAATACTTCCTGTGAACTGCTGCCAGTTGCAGGTATTTGCAGGACATGTCTGGTTCTATTTAGGGTTTTTTCTTTCTTTCTTTAGTATCCTTGGCCATATAACCTGATCTTTTTCATAAGAAATGTCAGCAAAGTCTTTGAATTAATGAGCTGTGAAGTGCTCAAAAACATACCATTTCAAGAAGTATCTTGCAAGGATATAACACTAATGGGAGGTGATCCTTGAGTTTATAACCAAATATCCCACCCTAACTAAAAAGAACTAAGATAACGACTGGCCCAGGCACAATCTCCTTGAACAAAGACATAGAGAAGAAGTGATGAGGAGTGGGGGAGGTCAGAACCAGAGTAGCAATCTGGGGAAATGTGTTTTTTTGTTAGCCTTTCTAGCTCTGCTGAGCACTTCCGTCAAATAATGGAATTATACAAACCCCCCTTTAAAAGATAACCAGGTGGAGTATAGCAAAGAGAAGGGAGGAGGTGAGGTGTGTTCAGGTTGATCAAATAAAACTGAATGGTAGGTCCTCGGCTACACCTAATGTGGGTTTTGTTTTCTTTTAATTTTGCCATTAAAAAAAATGCGGTGTCACTCCTTCAATCTTTTTACAATTCTGCATGGTTGAACATTTGAAATGAGTTTGTGTATCACCCTCAGGCGCTGATTCAGACTTGATTGGGGCAAAGCAGACTGCATGTGCTTATTTTTATCCACGTCATTTGGGACGTTATGTCGCCAAAGGAACCAAAAATGTGCTGCTCTATTGCCAAATTATCACCTATCCTTTGATGAGACAGGGCGATGATCCTCAACAAGTTGTGCGACCTTAGTGTAATAGCAATGTCAGGTCAACTTGAGAAAGTGAAGAGAGAGCCCTAGACACAAATAAAAAGAAACAACCAACAATCCTTATAATTATCATCATCTGCTGCTTTTCCCTCTTTTGGCAAAGAAACACTCCATCCATTTGCAGAAATCGCCCGCGGAAACGTTACATCAAAACTAATCACAACGATTAAAATCAGCTTTTCTGTGCAAGAGGAGGGTAAAAAGCAAGTTGGAGGCTGGAATGAGACTGTTTTTCCACCAAAAAAAAAAAAAAATCTGGAAAAAAATTTCCTATGTGTATATTTCTCTATACATATATGTAGAGCTTTATTTTTGAAGGAGATCAATTGTCTGCCCTGTGACCAGTTAATTTGATTTAAGTTTTATTTTGGAGATTGATTTAGACTAGAGGTAGAGGCATGAGCTAATTGTATCCTGATCCTTGCCTTGAGGGGTTTCAAAGCCCTGGAGCAACTCTTCTCTGTATTTTGTTCTGTCTACCTTAGCCAAGCTATTGCATTTCTCTCTGGTGTGGCGAGCCGAGCAGATCGCTGGGAGAGAAATCGGAAAAGGGGGGAGAGGAAAAGGAAAAGGGGACTTGGAGAGAGACTTTGTGCTTCAATGTTTCAGGTAAGATCTGACGGTTTGGGTTTGTTATTATTTGCTAAGGAGGGTATGGCTGGGACTTTGGGCGCAACTCGCTTTTACGCATGTGCCAGGCATGGGGCGAGAGCGCGGCACACTCGCACACACGCCGCCCGCCACGGCGGGCGACTCGGGATCCGCTCGGACCCGCGGCGGCCGCCTCCTCCGGGGCTGCCGCTCCCGGTTCTCGGCTTTCTTCCTCCGGTGGGAGCGGGCGCCAGCAGGGCGGAGCAGAGCGGGCAGGAGGAGCGGGTGCGGCGGGCCGGGGCCGCGGCTGGGGGCCGGGAGCCGGCGCCGGGTTTCCGGATCTCGGGGCCGGGTTCCGGATCTCGGAGAGGAGCCGCCTTGGCTCTGGGAGCCCGTGCCAGAGCCGCCCGCCCGCCGCTCCGCGCGCCAGCCTCCCCGGCGGCCGCTCCGCCGCGGCTCTCCCCCGCCCTCCCCGAGCCCCTCCCTCCTCCCCCGAGCCCCGCGCGTCCCTTTCTTCCCCGGCGCAGAGCTCCGCGCCCGCGAACCGGCCCCGCCGAGAGCGCCCAGCGCCGCGGGTTCCCGGCCGCCGCCGCGGGGGCGCCCCGAGCCCAGCGCACATCCCTGCGGGGCGCGCAGGGGGTGGCGGCGCTCGGGGCGGCGCTTCCGCCGGGGGTAGGGGACCCTCCGCCCCCTTCTCGCAGGCAGCCTCGGCGGCGCTCCCGGACGCCCCGTGAAAGACGCCATTGTGGCGGTCGAGCGGACTGCGGCCTGGGGCGGTTTTTTCTTCCCCCTTTTGCCCGGGCCGGACCGCGCCGCTCCCCTTTGTGAGCCGCGGCTCGTGCCCGGCGCTCTTCGTCTCCGGCCGGGCTGATCCAGATTCGCCGCTTCCGCCCACCCGGGCGCCTTTAAAGCCCCCTCCCACTCCCTCCCATCTCCAGCCCCCCTCCCCCTTTTGGATGCAGACGTTTCATTTATTTTTAAAAAGCTCTCATTCCTCTTCCTCCCCACCTCCTCCCCGGATAAAGGGCACGGCACATGCTCCGGATTAGAAGTCTCCTTGGGAGGCGGGGAGGGGGTGGGGGCGGCGCTGGGACGCGGGGAGGATGCGAGCGCTGCAGGTAATGGCTGTGGCTTTGCTGCGCTCGCCTATTCCCCGCGCTGCCGGCAACGCCGAGTCCGAAGCCCGCATCCTTCCCTCCCCTCCTGGCGGCCTAGGTTCCCTTAAAGGGACAGAGTTTCCCGGCCGCCTGTGGCTCCGCCGTCTGAACCAGCGCTCGGGGCGCAGAGGTGGGCTGGAGGGATGCAGTTTGGCTCGTTTCTGACCTCTTTCCTCCTCCGCTCCCCTCAACTCCCGCCGCCCCCCCTACCCACTCCCGCCACCCCTCTTTACTGAAATGTGAAGTGTGCTTCCTCTCCTGCCCCCAAGAGGGACCTGGCTGGAAAACAGAGTCCGCGCCTCCTGGAGAAAGAACGGGGTGGGGGGCGCGTAATGGTGAATTCGCGTTAAAAGTGAGGTCGAGCCCCAAAACATCCAGGAAGAGGAAAGCAGACCTGTGGTGCAGGAATCCCTTACCTGCACGCGCGCTCCGCACAGCCTCCCCGCCACCGCAACTTGCGAACTGTCGCGGGTAGACAGTGTCTGCCTTTGTGCTTTCGAACACTTGCACTGTCGTGGAAATGATTTTCTGGTGTCAGAACGTTTTCAGTGACTGCTTCGGGGTTCGGCTGGGCGGAAGCCAACTAAGTTAGCAAAGTTGCAAATGGGGCCGTTGGCTTTGTACGTGGAGAATGGCACGCGAGAACTGTCCAGGATCCCAGTGGCACTGGCTTCGTCGCTAAAAGGTGCACCGCAGTAGGCAGGAGTAATTTGGTACAAATGTATTACCTTTTAGATAATAGAACTGGCTGCTTTCAAGCAAATCCTTGACTATGCGTTGTGTGTGCGTGTGTCTGTGTGTGTATCCTGGGTGGTACTGGGAGACATAACAGTTTAACATATTCTTTAAGACACGTTTGCCTTCTGTTTTCAATCAACTAAGCTGGCAGCTAGAGATACAAGTTTATTTGAGAATACCCTCTGGGTACCAAGCATGCTTGGATTGTTTTAGCAAATTAAAAATGAGCAAAATGCTTTTACCTTCTCAGCAGTAGACTCCTTAAGAGACCTCCTGTTTTGTGTGTATGTGTGCGTTTTTTAGAGAAACATTTTCTGTGTGTATCTCAAATGTGTTTTTAATGTGGAAAAGGAGAAAATAAAGGATTTTAAAAGGCTGAGGCTGATTCTGTAGAATGATTCATTAAACCTGATTCTACATCAAGGAATTTACCTACATATATGGGAATCTGTGGCAACTAATAGCCTACTTGGTGAATTTAAAATAGCAGTGGATCCATTTGTCTCCTGGATAATGGGCAGTGTGCCGATTTATTCCTCGTGTTTGTATTTGTGTGGCATTTGGCTTACCACGAGGGGCTGATGTTCAGGAAACTAACACACTGACGGCAACAGTTTGACTCAGGAGTCCTGCTGCTGCCTGAATGGAAAGAATTGTAAGCAGTTGTTATGATGACAGTAGGTTAAATGTTTACTAATTAGGTTGCAAAGGTGACCACGAAACTTTAAAACTTTGCATCACGGAGAAAACTTCATTGGGTTAGGCTTATATTTGTAAGAGAGTAACTAATTAGGCAAAAATGTCACATATTAGCTGGGAAGAAATTTTGAAATGAATTGAGTGTGAAAGATATTTGGCAAAAATCTCCCACCACAGTATGCAAAACGACTGCAGTGATTTTGCTGTATTAATTATGCCTGAAGCACAATATATAAAGTTCTCCAGCACACACTAGAGGTCTCTCTTCTAGCTGTAAGGTTTTTGTGTTTGTAATTCTTTGCCAGGGCTTGCATAGTAGGGGTGCACAGTAACAGCTTGGTTCATATTTACTTAAGTAGTGGTGATTTACTGACCATTCAGCTTACTCTGATGTGAGATATTTATTTTGGGGGGAGCCTTCAGTAATCATTGTACAAATTATACCACTTAAGGACTAGGAAAGTAACTTCACTAAGACTTCAACTAGATGATGATGAAAGCATATTATTCGATTTGCGTTGAATAATGCGTTATGGACCTTTTGGCATCAAATTATTTATCCAAAGCAATTTGTTTTTAAATGTAAGAGTAATTAGTGACAGATGTATTTTATCAGAGAACTTTCTTAAATTAAACCTCCATTTAGCTCTACGTTTAGCAATAACAATTGCTTGCACAAATGCTTTCTTGTCTTAATGTTTCTGAATCAGAATGATAGTTTTCTACTTCTGATGTGATGTTTTTAGCTAAGATCTTTTCCCATTTGCATTGCATTTGAGTCATTCAAATGATGTTTGTGAACTATCAGTTCACCAACGTTTTTATTTAGTTGTTTATTAAACTGCATTTCTGAACCTTCTTTTGGACTGCAGTTTATGATTTCCCAAGCAAACAGAGCACTTATTTGCTCCATCTTTAGGATGAACTATCTTGGGAATAAAAATGAAATTTTTGGATGCAAGCGTGTATGCTTATTTTAATAGCTTACTCATGCAGAAGTGAGACACAACTCGCTCTGGCTTTTCATTCATAAAAACGTGGTAGATATAAATAATGTTTTGCTTGTTAATGAGTTTGGTTTGAGATAACTGAAGAAACAAAACAGAGAGATTATCCTTTAAGAATAATAAGCCTGTGTTCATTAGGTCCGTTCATTCATTCATTGAACAAATATTTGTGCCTGCTGTATAAGAACTACTGTGTTAAATGCTGGAGACACAATAGTGAGGAAAAGCATTCAGAGCCTCCAATCTCCTGGAGCTTATAGTCCAGACAGAGAGGCAGACATTCATCGAATAACTGAACAACTGACAGAGATGAGTGCTTTGAAGGAAAAGGAATATGGGTTCTGGTAGCATTAACTTAAAGAGCGCCAAAACGGCCTGGACCAGGGTCAGAAGTGCCACACACTGAGATCTGAAGGATGAAGGGGCCTAGGCAAGAGAGAGAGAACAGAGACTAAGTCCAAGGGAGAGAGAAGAAGGAACAGCATTTTACCAAGCCAGGAGAAGCTTAGCAAAGCAGGAGGAACTCAAGGTTTAACTGGCTGGAGTAAGACACGGAGGAAGCAGTGATGCAGACTGCAGGGACGGGCACCTGGTCTTCACCCTACAAGTAAATGATGGGGAGGATTGGGAGAGGAGCAGCAGTGACCAATCAGATTGGTGTTTGGAAAGAATGACTCTGCTGGCACTCTGGGAAGTGGTTAGAGGGACCCAGGTGGATGAAGCATAGCTCTTGGAAGGCTATTACAGTCATCCAGGCAAGAGAAGACGTAGCTGGGTTTAGGGTAGGGGAACCACTGTTGGAAGGGTTTGAGATCTATGTAGAGGGGACAATTTATAGAACCTAATAAAGGTTTGGCCATAGGTGAACAAGAAGAGAGAAGTGTCAAGTGGACACCTAGGTTTGGGGCATGTTAATTGAATAGACAGGGGAATTCTGAAGCCTGGGTGGATTTTGTATCTTTCACTTCGTTTGTAATAGCCAGATTAAGTAGCAGTGAGAAGCCTCATTCATATCCGGTGTAACGGCATTCACAAAGGAAACCAAAGCATCTAGTCATTCTTTAATCCCTCCATTTGTTCAGCAATTGGGTCTGGAGTGCCTACAGTGTATCAGGCACGCAATGGCCTGCTCTTTTCATCCTGTTATCCAAAATGCCTTTTCCTTTATGAAGTGTACCATGTGGTTCCATTTATCCAAGTCTGACTAAGTTGGAATTCATCATTAAAGTAGGCCTATGTTGAGCCTTCTGAAACAAACCTGTGCCTTATAGTACAAATTAATTGTGTTAAAATATTATAAATGTGTCAAATGATTATAAAATGAATGGTTGGATGCTTTTTAAAAGTCCGTTTACATACAAATAACTGACACAATTATGCAAATCACTTGACTGAAAACACTTTGAATATCACTCTCTCCATAGGGGTTTGATGTACAAATGCAATTCCATAAGCTACTTTTCTTGGTGGTTCTCATGTGGATGGCCCTCAGGGCAAACTCCAGTTGGAAAAACAACCGTATTTTGACCTATTCCTTATTTCTCTATAAAAATGGGAACGATGCCATCTCTCTAACCTGCATTATAGGATTGTTAAGAAAGGAAAAATAAGAGTATGTCCAACTGAAGTGTGTATACGTAGTATCAATTAACCCCAAAGGGCACTTTCTTTGGAGGAGCCGCCGCAAGTCTGGCCCCTGCTGTCTCAGTCCCTCGGTCCACATCAGTCCCACCTTATCCTGGCTGCCTCTGAAACCCCAGGCACTGGTAACATCCGCGGCTAAGATTTAGGGAACAAGTAGCAGAGGCCATCTGGAATACCTACCTCCCTGAGCCCTGCAAACAAGACTGTGAGACAAGTAGTATTCCGCACTCATCTTATTCTGCACCCACCCTAGGTAATATGCCGGAAACCTCGGTGTCCACTTGACACTTCTCTCTTCTTGTTCACCTACGGCTAACCCTTTGCTAGGTTCTGTACACTTTACCTTCTTCTTCTTTTTTTTTTTTTCTTTTTTTTTTTTTTTTTTTTTTTTTTTTGAGACTGAGTTTTGCTCTGTCACCCAGGCTGGAGTGCAGTGGCTCGATCTCGGCTCACTGCAACCTCTGCAGTGATTCTTCTGTCTCAGACTCCCAAGTAGCTGGGACTACAGGTGCCTGCCACTATGCCTGGCTAATTTTTCTATTCTTAGTAGAGGTGGGGTTTCACCATGCTGGCCAAGCTGGTCTCAAACTCCTGACCTCAAGTGATCCACCCACCTCGGCCTCCCAAAGTGCTGGGATTACAGGTGTGAGCCACCGCACCTAGCCAACTTTCCCTTCTAAATAGATCTGACTCTTCCATCAGTGTTCCCCCTACCCTAACCCCAGTTGTATCTCCTCTTGCCTGGAGGATTAGAAAGGTTATGTGCCTTGCCTGAAGTCAAACACTAGGCTAGTGGCAGAGCAGGGATTCTAACTCAGCTGGCTGACTACAAAATCCCGTCATTAGCCCCCGTTAGCCATTCTGCTTTCTCATCTACACCCATAGTCCTATCTGTCCAGGACATACTATTTAAGCCCTTTTCAAGGGCACTTGGCAGAGGGCTTGCTTGTTCTGCCACCAGCTTCCATTCCTCCTGTTCTCTCTTCGTCCTCAGCTCTGTATCTCTCTACCACACCAGCACCCTACTGTTATGCCAGGAGAGAAAGAAAAAAAAAAAAAAAAAACCAGCGTGAGATTGTTGTGATCAGAACATGTGAATTGGTCTCTATCTCTTGCTGAGCAAAGTACTCTGTCATGCTAACCAAAATAGGGATTTGTTTTCTATCCAATGGGAACTGACAATTCAGCCCTTGCTGCCGACACCAATGCTGCTATTAAGAAGAAGAGTTATGAACTGAAGAGAATGTTAACGAGATAGATTTCAAAGGCTGGCTAGAGGAAGGGATATTCTTCCTGATAAATCTTTCCAGAGCATCTACTGCTATCATCACTTACTTGTTTTTGTAGCTCTTTCACTTTGCTGGAAATTTGTAGCTAATGGAACAGAAAATGTGTATAAAACAAAAGACTCAGACTTTCTATGTGAGGGGGAGAAAAAGCTACCACATTGGTCCAATGGTACTGATCCTTCTCTCTCCTACCCATCCACTCCCACCACCCCATATGCAAATCCCACTCCATCTCTGGAGTCTGTGCTGTATTTTCTTGGTAATTACTGAATCTCTCTAAGCTTCAGTTTTCTGAACTACAAATGAGATAATAATATGAGATCATTGCAAAGGAGATAATAATAGTCTTAGAGTTGTTCAGAGAATAAAATGAGATGTAACGGGATGGATATGCCTAGCACAAAATAAGCACTCAGAAAATACCCATATATTATTAAGAGTAGGGACTGTGTTTATTCACCTTTGCTTTCTCAGTTCCTTAATACAGGGCCTGGCACACGGGATAAGTGCTCAATAAATAACTGTTGAATACATGAACACATAATTTCGGAGAACACAAGAATAAAGCCAAATGTTGATTTCACTTCCCTGTAAGTACTTTTTGCCATTGACAAGAGGACCCAAGTTCTGCCAGACGCCCTCACCTGCTGGTTATGGGCTTTTTCTTTTTTCTTTTCTTTTTTTTT